ATCCTAAAGTTAGATATTAAGAATTAATACAGTACAAAATTGGAAAATAAAAATTCTAGCTATTATAAGTAGAAAAAGTGTTAACGTCTCCGTTTTATTTATAATAAAGTAGAGAAAGAATTAATATATTATCTTCCTCCCTAACAATAACTATAAGGATATAAAATTAATTTTATTACTAATAATTAAATCCGCGTATTTTAATACTTTAATTAATATTTTTAAAGATAAGGAGGATGAAATTTTCTATAATTATAAAAAGGAGATTTCTAAAGTAATAGAATAGTTAGAGAAGGAATAGGAAAACGAGGACTCTAATAAGATTTATTAATTAAATATAAATATTTTAATTAAATTAATCAATCATTACGAAGAGGGAAAGGCTTAGGCCTTTCTAGTTAGATTCTTATTAATTAGGCCTAAGTAAAAGAGTCGGAAGAAATTCCGGCACTTTATTTTTAATTCGTAAGAAAAAACTTTAGTAGAAGAACTTTATTAATTAATATAATATTATTTATAAACGAAGAATACGTTTCTTCCTATTTTATAAAATTAATAATAAAGAACGTTAAAATTACTTTATAATATAAAGTGGTAAGAATTCTAAAGGAATACCGATTACTATTATTACGTATTACTAAACCTCCGTTATTATTATTAAGAAATTTTCAATTATATTAATCAAATTATTTTATTAATATATTGAAAATAATTAAAACCTACTTTATTAAAATATTTAAAATAATTTATAAAGAAAAAGAAGTTAAAGATATTACTAAACTTCATTTCGAAAAATTAAGGAACCCTTTTTCTATATTCGAAGCCTCTTTATTAATCGACTTTACCCTTAGAATTGTAAATATAGGAAGCTAATAATAAGAAAAGGATTTTATCTCTAAACGTTATTAGACGGTAGTAGCGAAGAATTTATTTATTACTATATATTATAGTAATAATATTAAAGTAAAGAAAATCCAACGTAATTAATATTTTATTAAGTTTGTACCTATATTTAAGAATATAATTTCGATATTGAAAGATATTAAAAATCACTATTATTATTCTCAAAATTAATTCTATACTTTAATTAAGAAGTAAAAATTAAATTTAGGATAAAAAACCTATCCCAACCAAATCTAGACGACAAAAACGGGATACTTTTATTAAAACGATCTTTAGTTTCGGAAGTATGAATTAAATTTTTAGGGTTATATATAAGGAAGCGAAAAAGTAAGGGAAATACTTTCAAAATTTAAAAACATACTAAAAAAAAGACTGGTATTATCAAAACCTATAAATAATATTAATATTTAATAGTAGGAAATAAACATTTTAATAAGTAAGTGGGCCGATATATTAAAAAAATTAGAGTTAATAAAATTTTTTTACTACGCTTAAAAGGATTATTTTATAACTATATTAAAAATTCTATTCAAAATGAATATTGTAGAATATATAATTAATTTCGTTCTAAGAGTAAAATTAATTTTATTTAAATCGATACGCTATTCCAAAGACTAATGTAATTTTGTAAAAAGAATATTCTTAATAATAAAGGAAGTTAGGACAATCTTTAAAATAGAATCCCCTTACGTAATAAATATTTTATATTCTTTAAAATTAAATGTAAAAAACTTAAAGGAAGAGCGAATTGTTCATAATTTCTAGTTAATTAATAAAATATTATTAAGTTAAAATACTTGTATTACAATATAAAAGTATTAGTAAACGATCTTCTTATTGGAAAAATAAAAATTGTATTAAAAATTAACATAAAGAACGGCTATTAAAGTATTGGAATACGCCCAGAATATTAATATATTACGGGAATAAGAATGCTTTATAGAATATATTATTACGATTGTATATTCTAAAAAATAAAGAATATTATAATAATTTATGTAAAATTTAGGGATTTAATTTTTAACGAACTTCCTCCGAAAATAGCAGTTCCTAATTATTAATATTACGAATATTATAATAACCCGGTAGAAGGCTTTAAAGAGATAAATAAGTATATTGTAAATAACGAATAGGATTAAATATTAAAGAGACTATGGAAATAGATGGAAAAAAATATTAAAAAGTTTAAGGTAGTAAGAAAAAGAATAGAATTTTTCCCGGCCGAACCTTTAATCTTAAGATTTAGTAAATATATTAGTAATATTATATTTATCTATATTAATAACTATTATATCGCCAACTAGGAATTCTAAATTTATTTATAATTTCTTTCGGAAAAATACTTCCCCCGAATAGCTTTTAGGCTAATCCTGCTATTACTAAACAAAATTCAACTTTTTATAAATAATGTAAAGACGTTAAGTTTTTATAATAAGGAAGGAAGAATTATTCTAATAGAAAAGTATTGTTAAAAGTTTCGTAAATAAACGAACTATTAAAAAAAAAATACCCCCAAAAACTTAGGACGAAGTGAAAGATTTAATATATTTAATACTATTCGTACGAAAGTATATTCCAAGGAGAATAGACTTAATAAAAATCTTAAAGGAAATATTTTACGATAAAATATTTAAAATAATATTATTAAGCAGAGTTTTAGTTTAAAAAGAATAAATAAATGAAAAAAAGCTAGAATAGACAAAGAAATAATAATAAGTAATAAAAGTTCTATATATAATAATAAAGGAGAATATATTGTATAGAGTAAATTATAGAAAGAGCATTCATATTACGATTAATACATCAGTAACGGGATTAGGAGTAATAATATTTTGGATTGTAAAAGAGAACCTATTAATAGCCTACGACTAAAAGAAGTACTAGAATACTATTAAAATTAACTTATTTCTATCTATAGTATTATAAAATATTGAAATAAGATATACTAATCCGGAAAGGGAAATATTAATAATAATAAGAGCGCTAAAGGAAATTTAATAAATTATAAAGACTTTAAAATACCCAATCTATATTTATACAAATTGTGCTTCTATTATTAAAATAATAAGGGAAGAAGAAATCATATACTTAAAAGTAATAAAATAGATCAACGTTATATTAGAATTCGATATAAAATTCATTTATAGATTAAATATAAATAAAATTATTTTAATCGCGGATAGTCTAAGCAAAATTTTCCTAAGATTATACAACCAGCTAATTATAGAACTATTATAGAATATTGAAATCCGAAAAATAATATGTATAAAAACAATAGATATTGATAAGGATATTAATATATTAAAAGGGGAAATAATATTATTATTTAACGTAAACTTAAAAGCAAAAGTCGCTAATAAATATAAAAGAGAAAAGAGCCAAAAATAATATAGAAATATAATAATTCTTCTCACTTAAGGTATAGAAGGTATTCGATATTTATTGAAAGCTAAGAAGAATAAATTTAAGAGCCGTTCGAATAAATTCATTATTATATAAAAGAAATTATAGTATGTAGAATTAGATAAAATATATATGGAATATTTAATACCGGAGGAATTCCCAAGATTATTAAGGAGATTATACGATAAATACGGCTACTATATAACGGAAATTATATTTAAAGAAATTAAAAATTGGTTTTAATAACCGATTAAAGCGGTAAATATAATTAATTACTATCGGAATTGCCCAATCTATTAATAATATTCGAAATGTAAGCAAAAAGAGCTTCCCCGAAGTATTACAATATATTAACCGATAGTGCTACTAGGAATAGACTTCGTAGGACCGATCTACCTAGTATTTCTAAAGGGCTTGAATTATATTTTAACAATTATAAATTACTTTTTGCAATTCGTCTTTACAATCCTTCTTCCTAAAGTATCGGTTTTTTTAATTAGGTATATATTTGTTAATATTATAACCCCGATATTTAGCTAGCCAAAATAAATATATTTTAATAATAGTAAGCACTTTAAAAATAAGGTTTTATAAATTATATTTTCTAATTATAATATCTAAATATTATTTGGACTAATTATAAATCCTAAAAGTATTAGATTTATTAAAAAATATATAGGGTTAATCTTTGTAGAATTCCGGAAATAGGAAATAGCGAAAGGAGGTAAAATATTAGAAAAATAGCTATTAATTATCCCGTCGATCCAAAATAATATTAATAGCTAGTTTATTCCTAATTTCGGTACTAATCTAGCAATAAATTTACTAAATTTTCAACCAAATAGGTTTAAATATATAAACGAAGTATCGATTCAATTAGAAGAATTGGATAAAGCCGGCCTCGATAATGAAAATCCCGAGCAATTTAATAAGGTAATAGTATTCCTAATATAAAGAGAAGAGGACAAAAATAAAGTTAATAATATCTACACTCAGCGGGCAATTAGGAAGGAAGTTAACCTGTTACTAAAAGCTGAATTTAGGATTAGCGATTGGATTTGGGAGGAGAATAAAGGAAGTAAAGTAAACCCGAAGTTCCAACTAAAGTAGGTTAGGCCGTAGAAAATTATTAAGAAAATTACTCTATAATTATTTGTTGTGTAATATATTTATAAATTGAATCCTAAGAGAAAGTTATATATTAATTACCTCAAAGCCTATTATAGCTGATAAAAATAGATGGACGCCAAATAAATTAATACTTTAGTATTAAACCCTAGGAAGGATAATGAAAGGTTAGATAAATTGAAGAGAGATTTAAATTTAAGACAGGATATAGTAGTTAGGGTAAAGAGAGGCGTAGATTTATCGAAAATTTAAAACTAATAGAAGGATAGTAGTATAGTTAAAAAGGCGACGAAGATTTAGCAAATTAATAACTTTGTAGGAAGCGAAGAGAATAAAATTAGTAGTTATAATTAGCAGAGAAAGAGAGAAAGTGGGAGGATTCTAATTCTAACGAGAAAGTTGTGTAGTTTTGGTGGTTTTGGTTAGTTAGCTTCGAGGTTGAAGTATATTAGGAGGAGGGTATTCTGAGACCCACTTTTCCTAATCACGTGAGAGTCTGGGAAATGTGGTCATAGTCACTGAGATCTGGGAGCTCCCCTCTCCCCGATTCTCCTCTTTTCTAGTTAGGCCAAATCAAGCATTCGGGTTTTCCAGTGTTTCACCCCCTTCGCTTCTTTTCCATCTATGCAACGAAGCCTCGTACATCACTTTAGCAAAATCCAGTCACATTCCCATCATGGTTTCCTTTTTCGACGCATCCCGCCACTACTCAAAGCATGGCGACTTGGGGTCTGTCGAAGCCATGTTGCAGATCTGGAGGAACGAGGCCGAGTTGGATCTCGACGCCGACATGGGTATCTCCAATCTGCAGGGCGCAATGACGGATGTCCTTTGCCAGGCCGTTCGCCATGGACATGAAGCCGCCGTGCGGATGATGCTTGACGCCGGTGTCGACCCGACTCTTCACCAAGCCTGCGATCCAGGCTACTCCCCTCTCCAAGTTGCCGCCGAGTATGGCCAGCGTGACATTGCTCGCCTCCTCTGGAACGTGGTTGGTCCCCAAGGCCGCTTCCACCACCCTAGCCGAAGACAACCGTCCGACGCCATGCCGAGCTGCCTCGTCGTCGCTGCTTACAACGGACACGCAGATCTGGTCGCCGACTTCCTCGACCTCTACGACGGCTGGTCCACTCTTGAGAAGCATCAGGCCCTCTATCGAGCGGCTGCCGTGTGGCACGACGACGTGGTCGTCTTGTTGCTAGTCAAGTTTCACTACCAAGCTGATATCATCCAGTGTGCCCTGGAGAGCGCACTCGCCATCAGCAACCGCGACTACATGGATGGGATACCCGTGCAAAGGCGTGATGGAGTACCGCTAGCCGAGGACGGCCAGATCCGCCTTGTCCGTCGACTGCTCGATGCCGGCGCAGACCCTAATCGGACCTGCAATGACTGGCGAGGCTTGCCCATTCACGAATCCTTCAGGCGGCTCGAACTTTTAAGGTTATTACTTGAAAGGGGGGCAGACCCCAACGCAAAGGACGGCTATGGCCAAACCGTCCTTCACAAGGTCGCCGCAAACTTCAACAGAAATATCGTAGGTGGACGAAATCGGGCATCCATTAGCAAAGAGGACAGCTTAGAGGTCCTCCAGATTCTTTTCCGTCATGGTGCATCCCCTGAGGCCCCTGACAATGAAGGAGTCACGCCTCTTCACCTGCTTGCGGGCACCGGTACACCCGACGCATTCCGTTTATACCTCCAACACTGCGCCAATGCCTCCAGCGCCATGCGCCTGCTTAATAAGTTCGAGGAGTCACTGTTACACTATGCTGCCGCCGCCGGAAACCGAGACACCGTTGAGTATCTGCTCGGCCAAGGTCTGGATGCCGACCAAGCCAACGCCAACAAGTGGACGCCCTTGCTCTGCGTCCTGACGCCAGCCAAAGACTACTTCAAAGGCCAGGCCGCTGCCCGGATTGCGGTGGCCCGCCTCTTGCTCGAGCGTGGTGCCAGCGCCCAGGTGGTGACGGACGAAGGGTGGACTCCGTTGCATGCTCTCGCCACCGTCCGGACCGTTGACGCTACTGCAGAAGAGAGGATAGGGGTAGGAGCATTCGCAGAGGAGCTGATTGAAAGAGGCACGCCCGTCGATGCCGAAGCGACTGTGCTTCGGTACTGCTCGCCGATCTTTACATCGTTTCTGTACGGTACCTGGGGTCATCGGATGGCTGAGGTTATTCCCCAGCTGGCCAGCCGTGCCGAGGATCGTCGTCTGCAGGCGTACGATGACTATGAACTGACGCCGTTGCATTGGGCTACCCGTACTGGCGCGACTGACATTTTTGATGTGCTCATGAGGCACTTCGCGTCGAAAGAACAAACCCAGCCCGAGTCCGATGAAGGTGGCGTACACAGGTAGGTGTCGTAACCACCGAGGGACATACAGCTCGGCAAGGAGTATCTTGAGAGGTAGGTCTAGGTATGTGTACACAGTGAGACGGTAGGTAGCTAGGCTAGGTATGTCTGCTTAATAGCTCGTACTGTGAGCTTGCTTTGCCCTTGAGCACGTTGTGTTGGTAATCTCTTAAGGGCGGCCTCCCTTGTTTGTCTCCCCCTGAAGCTTGAGCCGCTTTCTTGGCAAGTGCCAGCCATGTCGTCACCAACTGACTTCTTCCTTAGACTGCGTACTTTTTAGGTAGGAACTTTGATTCTTTTTTAAGTACCTTATATCATTCCTCCCATCAGCCTTGCGTCCTTCTCATCACAAGTTCACAAGTGTAAAAACATTAACCGTTCGTTGGAAGTTTCCAGGTGCAGTTGGCTGCAATCCATTCAAAGGGCAACCGCCCGTGCCTATTCCCCGTCACGGGTCGTTGGACGATGGTTCAACAGAAGCGCTCGCAATTTAAGAGTTGGTAAAGCGGACGGAGAATGACTACGGTGATGGCGGTTATGTCCAAGTGGATTATCTGAGAGGCAGGTTGCCGTTTGTCTACATGTCTTGTGAGCTGCGAAGATCTGGATGAACTTAGGAGCATAAAGAGGCGCTGAGCCCACTTGCAAAGCATGAGTTTTCGCTCACTCGACATCATCACTCCATCGGGCATTTTGCGGCATCTTTCAGATCATTGATTCTTATCATCCTAAACCACACTAGCATTTGCGTCGAATTCCCGAGACAGTCATTATGGCGCTCCCACCTCCAGAGCTAGATGTCAGGACCCCTATTGATACTATCCAGCCTCAGTCTGAGGACTTGATATCAGATACTGAAGGACTTTTTGATTTTATCATCAAATCCCTTAAGACTCTGGCAGATCTATCGGATTCCAACACCGCCGGATGGAATGCTTTGGCCGGAAAGATGGCTGAGTGCAAGGTCAAGTGGGACGCTTGGTACGCCGGGTTCGTGGATCGTGAACAATTTCTCCAGAAAGAAGAACAATGGAATGGCAATGGGCGATACAGTTACCTGTATCTCACTCGGACAGCCACTAAGCTTTGCGATGCTCTTTCAGAACGTAAGAATGCCCTCAAAAGACATTATGAATAAGGACGCGGCTAACAAATTTTGGCCTACTTTCCTTTAGTGAATGATTGGGTTGATGCACTCGCCAACGCCTTTGCGCTCCTGAAGCCAGGTGTGAAGGTGACCATATCGGTACGTACCAACCTTTCGTTCTCTGAGTTTATAGTACGGAGCCATGTCGAAGCCGCGGCTAATGCGAACGGGCTTCTTGCTAGGGCCGTGTCCGGACCTACACCACTACATTGGAAGACGCCCCAGTGGAAACCGCCAAGATGATTTTCACAGTTGCGTGCCGACTTCTGGATTGTCAACGCTCCAACAACTTCATCCAAAAAGGTCAGGCGATGACAGACAAGCAACTAAAAGAGCTCGAAAAACGCACAGAGAACGCCGTAGTCGAGGAGATGAAGGGCGACTCATATCTTCAATTTCTCAAGAAGAGTCCAGCCCACGACGATGCCAAGGCGTGGGAAAAGTATCTACAGACACTCCGCCCGCAACCCATCAGTCAAGTTATTGAGGCCATGAAGAAAGAGCAAGCCTCTCAACGCGGCAAAAGCACTTAGTCTGATACCGCAGGATCTCAGGGAACGAGTACCAATCGGGCACGGGACCCCGGCTCGACTTCGGCCCTCTTTGGTGGACAGGTGGCACCGCGGTCCTAGGTCTACGAAGAGTTGCCATCAGGAACAGAACGTCATGTTCATCCTTCTTCTTTCTCAAGGTTTTCATCCATTGGCCACCCACCTTCGTCAATCTTTCTTTTCCGTTCAATTTCCTTTTCCCCAGGCATATCACATCGTATGTGTCAAACAGTCATTACCCCGAGTTGAAGTTATCATGCACGGATAGGACCGGCGGAGGAATATAAAGTCACAAACAGTATACACTCCTTTCCATTTTCTCTCTTGTTGTAGGCCTACACTGATAGTTTAGCATCTATGTCATCCAGTCGTTACCTCTGTCTTTGTCTGGTGGAAGAAGATGTCAGAGAAATAGAAAAAGGCAGCTTGCGGTGCAAGTTGCGAGAAAATTGGTCGAGTTCATGTTCTTACCTCTCCCCTGCCTCGCACCTTCCAGTTCCACGTGCTGTTGCCAACTTGCCCTCGGCTCCGTCACGCGCACGGCACAACAAAAGCATGGAATCTAGGGCAGGCACCATCATCCCATCTCCCGCTCCCACGGGTACCTTCCTTCCATCTACATGTACCTCTAGCTACCTCTCACTAGCGGTATATAGCCAAGGTCAACGCTGTAAGTTTCCCAACAAGGCGATACACCCCTTAGCAAACTTCGGGGACTCATAGCCGAGTGGTTTGTCAACGCACGTTGCTTCCCTGCAGGACGTGCGTTCGATTCCCCCCCCTTGAGACCGTTCCCAGTGCCGTTTATCGAAGTATGCAACCAGACCTTTTTCGACTTGTCGATGTTTGGAATATCTTGTCACGTTCGCGCGTTGCCCGTGGAGTCGAAGGCGGTTGTATGTATCGCCTGCTATTTCACTTTTTTTTTGCTTGTTTCTTTTCCTTTTGACTGGGGGTAGGTAATATGACAATAAACAGAACTGACCACAAACACTGGTATTCTGAGTAAGAAATGACGAGTAGACTGTGTTGGGCGTGGTATAATCATGGTAGATCAGGCCTTCACGCCGACGAAAACACAAAAGGTCGGTGTCCAAAACACCCGGATTACCTAACCAAAGGTGGCAGACCAAAAATATTCCAGGGCTGTGTTGTATCTTAGTGATGCGCAGGGTCAACACCGGCTTAGACTAGCTTTTGAGCGCGCCTATGAAAGTTAATGTATTCTTCTACAGGGCGGCAATCCCATTGTGCTTACTTTGCAGTCTTCCGGAAGAGGAAACCACAAGCATCACGCTCCTACCACTCACTACCGTGAATTGAACACTACTGCTTGGTGGCCGTCTCATCCTTCACCTTCTTCGCCTCCGCCTCGTCGACTACCTCAGTGTTACCCTCCTCCTTCTCGGCAGCCTTGGGCGTAGTAGGTTGCGTGAGAATCTTAACAGCATCCTTGCTATACACATAGCTAGCACCGCTCCAGATCGTCGTGACGGCAACGCCATACCTTTTATGACAAAGTATGTCAGTAATCTTCTCCCACCCACCAGAACATCACCCATCGCCCATCACCCATCACCATCATCAGGAGAGAAAGAGAGAAAACTTACTGCATCACCATCAAACTCCACGCCAAATCCAACGCCGGCACAACCGGCGCCACAGTCGTCAACCCCATCAACCCCAACTGCAACGCGGTATTATACTTGCTAATCGCCGTCGGCCTGACCTCCGCACTGGGCAGCGAAAAGTCCCAATACCGCGCCATCGTCTTAGGCGGCGGCAGCGAGATCCAGCGGAAGTACAAAGCAGAAATAGCCAGCGCCACGTCCCTCCCCAGGATAATGACGGCCAGCCAGACGGGCAGCAACCCCTTGGTCGCCAGCGTCACGGTAAGCACCGTCATGAGCGTCTTGTCGGCCATGGGGTCGATGATGGTTCCTACCACGGTGCCCTGGTTCCATCGCCGCGCGATCCAGCCGTCCAAAAGGTCGGTCACGCCCGCGTAGGCGAAGAGACCGAGGGTCCAGGCGTGATGGTCGTGCAGGATGCAGTAGCCGATGAAGGGGGCGGCGACGAGGCGCGAGAAGGTCAGCCAGTTGGGGATGGTGTGGATGTTTTCGCGCTTGGTGATGGCGCCGGTCTGCGGGAGGGCGGCTTTGAGAGCTGCTGTGGTCTTGGCGAGGCGAGAAGGGGGTTTTGTTCTTTGAAAGGAAGTAAGTGGGTTAGTGAAGCGTCGGTGTTGGTTTCTTTGTATCTGAGTTAAAGAAGATGGATGTTGGCGCGGGCGCAAAGTGTGATGGATTGAAGGCTGATGTAAGTGAAGGGTATGATGAAATGAGCCAAGATAGAATCAAACATCTTGGCCACTCATTCATTCATTTCTTCATGCCATGACATACCCATTCTTGTTGTCTTCCTGACTCCTCCACGACTTGGACACTGAAAAATGCCTAGCATGCACAGGCGCAACAGACAGTCTGTTGTTCATGCGTCCTCGGGTTGAACATGATTGCCATAGTGAATGTGACTGCAAGAAAACGATGGGTGTTGTTTTCAAGCCGTTGCAACCAACATGTTGGATGCGATGCTGAACAAATAGCCTCGACGTCGTCGACTGGGAAAGAGAGCCGGAGGAAGCGGAGCGCAGACCTAGCAAAGACGAGGCGTTAAGTCGCAACATGTCGAATGAATGAGTGGTGTGTGCTTGGAACTGAATGGATGTGGTGAAGGTCGTATGGAGATGTCTCTTTTGTCACTGCATTCTCGCCCCGTCGATCATTCGTCGCCCGTACGATTTCGAGAATTCTTAATAGGACCGGGACTTTGCTAGGCGTCGCAATGCTCCTTTTCCCTGTCGAGGTGGGCAACGAAGTCAAGATGTCGGTACAAAAAAAACAATGACAACAAAACTGAGGCGCGCGCGATGTTTCCAAGATACCCAACGACAAGACGGTCTTTTTACTTACGCCCTGCCTTTATGACGGATAGGTACAGTACAAGATAACTGGGATGACGATCCGCACCCATCCGTCGGCGAGGACGTTCGTTGGTGGGGTGTGGATGGAGTGCGCCGGGCCTTGTACCTCACAGTAGTTTTGCCGGCAATCGGGAGCACGGTGCACCCTCGCATTTTAGTGCATCAGCTTTGTTTCGGAATATGGTGGGTCCTCTACCATCGGCCCCGCCCGGCCGATAAAGTGGGTCTGACGCCGGCATCAGTCCGGAGCCCCGGAACTTGAGCATCCGGTTATGTTGATGGGTCTCACAGGACCCTACTCTGTCCTGATATGTTGCTACAGGCCGTCATCAATTCAAACGGCTCTCAACCTGAAACATTTTTCATACAATCGATGTGGTTTAATGTTCTATGTCACTACTGTCGGGTGTTTGGCATCTTCCACTTCATGCTTCCCTCCCGCCCCGTCAAGTCTTCCATCCCAACTCTTCAACTGGGCATGGGCCTGGGCCTCTGGCCCAAAGAACATACAAGTAGCCCGCAATCTAGCCCTTGTAGTAAGGTATATGTATTACTTCCCGTGCCAATAATTCCGTGGCAAGCTGGTAGGATGGTGCAGCGGGCACGGTTATCGGCCCCCCACCTTCCTTTCCTTCCCCCGGCTCTCGTGTACGCTTCGCGTTCGAACCCGGTAGTTGTAAGTCCACGTTTTTTTTTTGTTTTTTCTTTTGCACTTTTGTTCTTCTGATCGCTTTTTTACCAAGTATTATACATATTGACAAGTTCTACTCCAAAAATCAACCCAACCAATCCCAGCCCGGTATATGCTACGCTTTTCTTCAAATGCTATCCTTACACCACACACCTTACCACTTTTTCGTTCAGATCTTCGGTCACTTCGGTTGACAGATCAGAGATCAGCAGCCCTCGCCTTGGCGTCCACAGTCTCCATATCACCCTCAGCAGCAGTCAACGCCTCACCAACAGCGTCAAGGTCTGCTTCGGGCGCCTCACTGCTCAACTCGGATGCAATTCCCAGCCTGTTTCTCCTCTTCACGTACGCGAGCAACCGCATGCAGCCAGCAGGGGTGATCCCTTCTATCCTCCTCGCCTGCGCCAGGCTCTCGGGCCTGGTCGCCTTGAGCACGCCCTTCTCGGCCAGGGAGAGGCTCGGGATCTGGTCATAATCCAGATCAAGCGGCAGCCTCAGATCCTCCTCGCGCTCGAACCTAGCACGCTCCAACTCGTGCTTCTCGATCTGGGGCGCATAGAGCCCCTCGATGAAGGTACGCTCGCGCACGCGTTCCGAGAACTCCATCAGCTTGGGCACGACACCCGACTCGTGTAGCTTCTCGATCGACGCGCCCTTGAAGCATAGAATCTCCAAGGCGCTGCGCCTGCGGCTATCCGCCTTGACGTCAAAGCCGGCATTCTGCCAGGCTTGCGGGGACAAGATGGTCTCGCTGAGGATGCGGCGCAGCTCGGCCATCTGGCCGTTCTCGGACTGGAAGTGGCTCCAGCGGCGGTCGCCGACGACGCCCCAGCTGCGGCCGAGGGCGGTGAGACGCGAGTCGGCGTTGTCGGACCGCGTGGTCATGCGGAACTCGCTGCGCGAGGTGAACATGCGGTAGGGCTCCGAGACGCCCTTGGTGATGAGGTCGTCGATCATGACACCGATGTAACCATCGGCGCGCGAAAGGGTGACGGGTTCGAGACCTGTAGCGGCGCGGCCGGCGTTGATTCCGGCTACAATCCCCTGGCCTGCTGCTTCTTCGTAGCCGGTGGTGCCGTTGATCTGGCCGGCGAGCCACAGACCCCGGATAGCCTTGGTCTCCAGTGTGCGCTTCAGGCTGCGGGGGTCGACATAATCGTACTCGACACCATAACCCGGTTGGGTCATGACGACATCCTCAAGACCGGGAATAGTGCGAAGCAGTGCCAGCTGGGCCTCGGCGGGCACAGTCATACTCAGGCCGTTCGGGTAGATGATGTCGTTGTCGAAACCTTCGGGCTCCAACCACACAAGATGACGCTCCTTGTCACTGAAACGGATGATCTTGGACTCGAGCGAGGGGCAATACCGAGGTCCCTTAACCGTCTCGCGGATGTGAATCGTCTTGTCGAGATTTGCGCGCACAATCTCGTGTGTCGCATGATTGGTGTAGGTGGCCCAGCAGTGAAGCTGGTCCTTGACAGCGACAGCGTCGTTTAGGTAACTGAACGGGTTCGGCGGGTCATCGCCGTACTGCTTTTCGAGGATGTCGAAGTTGATGCTCTTCTTGTCTAACCGTGGCGGCGTTCCTGTCTTCAACCGCCCCAGCTTGAACCCAGCTTCCCTAAGCGACTTGCTGAGGCCAAAAGTCGCCTTCTCACCCATGCGGCCCGCGGGATAAGCTTCCATACCGATATGGATCTCGCCGCCGAGGAATGTGCCTGTGGTGATGATGACCTGGCTTGTGGGTAAGACCTCGCCAGACTCCAACCTGACGCCAGTGATTTTTGTTCTCGCTCCGGTAGAAGGATCATCGTTTTCGGAAACGACAATGTCGGATACACTGTTGTAGACCAGGGAGAGGTTGGGGTACGATTCGAGCTCTGCGCGCATGTGCTTCTTGTATAGCGCTCGGTCGATCTGGGCGCGAGGACCCCAAACGGCGGGACCCTTCTTGCGGTTGAGGACTCGAAACTGGACACCGGCCTTGTCGATGATACGGCCAGCGAGGCCATCGAGAGCATCAATCTCGCGAATCATGATTCCTTTGCCGATACCGCCGAAACTAGGGTTGCAGGAAGCGACACCGAGGTTCTCGACGCTGGGTGTCACTAACGCCGTCCTCGCGCCAGCGCGGGCAGCTGCAGCGCACGCCTCAGATCCAGCGTGGCCTCCGCCAATAACGACGACATCAAATGGCCTGGACAATATCGGAAGAACAGGTTAGCCATTGTATTTCTTTTGGCTTTGGAATGGATGGCGATGGTGTTCTTGTCGTCGACTGGGTGGTCAAGTGCTCACCTCGCATCGGATTCGACCGTTGCAAAGGTCCTCGTCTTGATGATGCCGGTGCTCCAGAACTGGTAGCGCGGCCGTCGAAGGGGCCGGCCAAGGCTCCTGGAAATCAGGAGTTTTGACATAGCTGAAGTTGCGCGGATCGCATGGAAGCGATGGAGGCGAAAGGACTACAGACAATAAACATGTGTGCAATCGCATGCGACACTGCCGCGGCGGCACTGACGGGGAAAAAAAGTGGACCAGGATTAACCTCCGATACCACGCCGCGGGGTTTGTCTAGTAGCGTTCGTCTGTTTGACTGCTGCTGCCCTGAAGCTAACCCCACGTCTTCGATCGAAACCAAACAAACGCATCGGCGTCCTTATCACGTGAATACGCGACCATGGTAGGTATCACCGTATCACTGTTTGATATCCGATACACGAAAGGTTTGAATATTCTAGCAGAGAGGTTGATGATGGTACATGGGTATAAAAGAAAGAGGTCCCGCTTCTCGAAGCTACGCACAGCGTCCTGCTGGAACCTAAATTTCGTAATTCGTAATCGACAGTCGTTTTTCTACAACGGCCGGACTCCATAGAGCCCATTCGTGAACCCCAACAGCAACTGTATCAACACCAGCAGCGAGCAGCAACTGGCAATTGGTCATATGCCAACTTCAGCTCAACTTTACTGCTGCTCCTGGGTCTCGCCCTCGGTCTCGGTCTCAGTCTCGGTGGTCTCGCGGGGGCCGGTGTAGGGACGGCGGAGGACCTCGAGGCTGCCTATAGTTGTCGTTGGTTAGCAATGCGCACATGTGAAATGGAACGGCGCATTGGTGTTGATGTAACGTACGGTGAACAATGTTGACGGATGTCCTGTTGCGACCCTCCTCATCGCTCCAGTTCCTCAGGGAAAGCTCGCCCTCGACGAAGACGGTGGTTCTGTCGCTAGCAGTCAGTTTTTATCGTTCAATGGCTAACTAGTAAGGCCAGGGTTACGCACCCCTTGGGGAGGGTCAGCAGGAAGTCGCGCGCCTTGCCCTCGGCGAAGCTGGTGATGTTGAACCAGCTGGTAAGGGGGCTGGAGCGGGGACCCGAGTTGCTGGCAATAGCATACTTGATCATCTCACGGCCGGTGCTGGTAGCGCGGACCTCGGGGGTGTCAGCGAGGTTGCCGATGATCTGGACGCGAGCCAAGCCGCGGGCGGAGGTAGAGCTGAAAGAGCGGACGGCCGGGCGGGCGGCGGCGCCAAAGACGGGGCGGAGGAAGGCGGACATGTTGAGGGCTTGACTGGTTGGGCTGGTTGGATGGGTGGTGTTGAAGCTGCTGTTGGAGCCGACTTGGAGGCTCGAATTTGGATGTTTAGACTTTAGCTTCTCCAGAGGGGTTCCGAGCTAGGCGGGCCCCCAGTTCCACCTCTGATTTCTCCATGCACGGGCCTGCTCCCGGTACCTGATCTGTTAGCGGTCGTCTATTTGCACACCATGGCGTCAAATCAACTTGTTGCCCACACTAACACTTAACTTGCACTGCAGACAACACCGTAAAACTTCAACTTAACCACCTACATACTTCCAGCAAAGTGCGATTTCTATTTTCCCATCAACCTTTTCTTCATCACACCAACCATGGCTATTAAATGATGGGAATTTCTTCTTCTAACGTGAACTTCGGAAGTTTCATGTCGATTTCCGAAATTGGATCCAACTCGACTGTTTGTTGACATCACTCATCACCAGCTACTACTATCTTTGCCTCCCTTGGTGGTTGACATATCACAATCTACGGCAAGGACGATGGCAACCAGTTGAAAGACCGGCAACAGGCAACCGGTTACCCACCGGAAGCCACCCAGCTTTCCGGGACCGGGCGTTAACAGCCAAATCCCGAGCGTGCTCTCGGTCGGCAGAGCACGTGGTTTGTACCACCACCAACCATGCTGAGGATCTCGGGTTACACTCAACGGCACTGAAAGCAGTTACACCAAGACGATTCGGCCACTTCTACTATGCCAATCCAATTGACAAATGGCAACTACACTCCATTTTCCAAGAACTGCGGTGCCATGTTTGCATTCAGGAAAATGAGTCTGCGACAACTTACACGTTCTTTCTTCCCATCTTTGGTTGAGGACCGCACTAAACCCTTTTTGGGTTTGAATAGAGCCTCAATAAGGATGCTCCATTTGAATACACTACTGTATAGTAGACATCGGATGGCAGACTCATTCATCACTTACACCAAACTTTATTGCTTTTGGGTTCGCTCCACCAGCGCGATTGAGACATCCCATCTTTCCCATTCACAAAATCTTCTCTATACGCCGCCATCGCTGAATAGACCAATAAATCATGCCATGACCCGACTACATCTTCGCCATCGTCGGCGTCATGCCTCTCTTGAACTTTCTTCTCTCACTGTAGCCTGTTTTCAACGCTGATATCGTCGTCATCCTCGCCTTTGTCGTCGCCCCTTTGATGCCACCCCTCATCTGCCGCCCCGTTACGCTACTTCATAAGTTTCTGTATCACTCGTGCATCGACAAATACACAAACATCCGTCACGGGTCTATGGGGAGGAGATTTCAAAATGAACAACACAGATTCCTGGCCAAGTGTCGCCAACAGTACCACCTCCTACACCACCACACCCGAAGAACGACTTGGCCCTCCCGCTCCTTACACCGATATTGGTCTCCAAGTCAACCTCTTCTTTAGAGTCTTTCTGGGAATCCTCGGAATCCTTATTCCTCTCGTTCCTGCGAAGCTATTATGGATCAACGGCGAATTTGGGGCCACGGTACATTGCATGTCAACAGTCACGCTCAACTTCCTTTACGTCGTCAACTCGCTCATATGGCGAGACAACAATGTCAAGAAGTGGTATGCTGGCTATGGGTGGTGCGATTTCCATACTTACGTCTTCTTCGCGGTTGAAACCACCTTTCACACCACTCTCTTCGACATCATGCTCGGTCTTGCCAACAAGATCGGTAACCCGCGAGTCACCAGCCTCAGCCCCAAGGAAAAGAAACGCAAAGATCGAATCTCGGCCCTCATCATCTTCGGCAATCCGGTCCTACAGGTCTTGCTCACTTACTTTGTCATTACTCAACGGTACAACGTCTCAACCCTTGCCGGTTGCAATGCCGTCTTCGACCCCAATGGCCTCTTCTTCGTTTTCTTCATTCTCCCATCACCAGTCTTCACGGTTGGTGCGGCAGGCTTGGCAGGTAAGATACAAACCCAAGTCCATGGCATGTTGCGTAATCGCTTACAATATACGCAGCGGTTTGTTTTTACAAGTATCGACAGCTGGAGAAACTCACTCGCGAAGTCATACCAAGTGATAATAGTATACGAACCGCGAGACAAAAACGCCTGAGGAGAAAGCTCTACTTTCTCACTCTCTCTATTCTCGTGTTAGTTGTGCCGATCGTTTGCGTCTTCTTCGTCTTCAACCTCATTGATGGTTGGCCGTGGTCGCTGCCGTTCGACCTCCATCGCATTCACGCCAACATCAACTTTGTCTCGTTCACAACTACGGAAGGAATGCAAGTCGCAACTGTCCTTACCAATTACGTTCCAGTGGTGAGCTCGGCGGCCATTTGCATCACCTTCGGCACAACAGTTGAGGCATATAACCAGTACCGCTTGGTTCTCGTTTTCCTCGGCTTTGGAAAGATTTGGCCCAAGCTGTATCAAGAATATGACCCCGATGACTCTGAACCACCATCTGAGCTTAGCACGCAAACAAGTTCGAAATCGTGGTGGTCATCCATGACGAAGAACAGCAAAAGGGGTACAGTCACAAGGTATGAGACTCACAAGCTTCCCAACATAACCATCACATTGGACTATCTGGACACTAATGTACAATTGAATGAACAGCCAGAGCGGAAACGACTTCTCTATCCTCCCTATTACTGAGGGCATACCTCTCACGAACCGATCAACACCTGCACAGACAACGGGTGAAGGTTCCCATACCATTCCATCTTCCTCATACGATGAGCTCAGAAAAGAATTCCCGGACTTGTACCCTACCCAGTCCTCACCCACAGCAAAAGCCAACCATAATCCCTGGCCCGATCTGTCAGACGACCCTCCCGCACCAGCGCGCAACCCATGGTATCTCCGACCGAATGCCTTCCATGTCCCAATCAAACTACCAATGCCGCTGTCGCCCATCTACATACCATCCCTGCACGTGGATCAAGAAAAGAAGACGGAGGGAAAGCAGAAACGGACGAGTGTCAACAGGCTCTCTCAAGGCTACACCGCGCTCAGCGGCTCCTCTACAACAATCCTGCCGTCCTCGCAGTCACCCACCTGCCCTCTTCCCCCACTTCCAACTCCTACATCCTCCTCAAGACATTCACCACAGGAGGAACGACACCGGTCGACGAGAAAGAAAGAAAAACAGAAAGAATCAGGGACCCAAGAAAGCACATCCAAATGGGGTGTATCGAAAGTACCACTAAAGCCAGCAACACCCTGGAGTCCCTTTGCTTCCAGCCACACCAACACCACCCTAGGAGTAGACACTCGCGTGTGGTCGCCCCAGAAGGATAACAATCACGCCAAAAATCACAAAGAGGACCACCATGCTGCTGCTCACCCACAAGATCCCCCGGTCGTCTCCCATTCTTCTCGCTTAACCTCAGGACCTCAGCTTTCACCGCCGCCATCGTACAGTGTCGCTGTCGGTGAACAATCTTCCTTTGCCTCCGCTTCTGATCGATTGACGGGACTCGGAATCAGTCCGCCTGGACGCGAACAGATCGGGACGGCGTTAGGACACCCACCGAGAGGCGGGGTGGTCAGGGTTGAGACGCATATAGCGAGCGAGATTGAGGTCATTGGTGATTTTGGACGTGATGATGGTAATGATGGTGATGGTGATCAACGGGGTGGAAGGGAGTGAGGGGGTGGTGGGTGGATGGTTGTTATGTGGGAAGTGGGAAGTGGGTGGGAGTAGAGGAGTGAGAGGTGAGGGGGTTGGAGGTGCGTTTTGGAAAGTAGGGGGTGGGTTTTGTGGGTTGTGCGTTTGTATGATAGCAGGTATCTTCGGGGTATTCGAAAAACTGAGGGTCGAAAAGGATTGCTATTAAGGTGGAAGGGTGAGTGTCTGGGTGGAAGACACGGTTGGGTTGGGTGGCGGTCTATTGAGATTCGTGATGGAGATACCCCTTTTTGAATTATTCTTTGAGTTGCGTCTATAAGCAGGCAGCCCTTAATCTTTTAGCCCAGCTTATGTCTATCCGCTCCATTGTTCATTCTACTTCTCTTCACTTGATTGCTCTTAGCTTGACGTACGATACCTATTCAAACAGGAATAAATGTCCATTCTCCCCCGTAACAGTCCGACATCCAATCAATGATGTGGCCACGACCATCCAGTTTCCCCTCACCCCAGTGATATAGACTTGACGAATGCAAATTCGGTCTTGGTTTAAAGAAACCTAGACATCCATCCTCTCGACGGACACTCACAAGTCAGTCCCACCATATCGCCATTTCCCAAAGATACCTTACCTAGAAACTGCTGATATTCAACCAAATCTGACTACCTATCTGAGCCGCAACTAAGACTTTCCCGCATATTTCAGGCAGAACAGCAACCGTATTTTATTGGCCAACTCTCAACTGAAACTATCAAAAAGTAAAATAACCTTTAACCTCTACATGTCATCAGAAGAAACGTGTTTCTGACTCAATATGGTGATTGTATCCCTGAAGTGACACACGACTGCGGAGGGAGGTATCTCTACGCGAGATACACCGTCTTGCAGTAGCTACCACTTAGACAATGATCCTTAGGTAAACTTTGTGGGAGCAGTATAGGTAGATTCATCGTTACCCTCCCCTTAATCTGCCGTGTAAACTTCTTGCGAGATTCATCTTCGGGATCTATGTGCCAGAACTAGGTGGGAAAATTTAGGCAAATTCACCATTCTAGAATACCTACCTACTCACGTCTCTTAGCTAGTGAACTCAAACTCCCACATAGGCACTCAAGCTGCGTCTCAATGCTACTTGCTATTGTTTGAAGGCCGCCGCAACTTCTACCAGATCCCGCACGTAGACAAGTTCTTCATGGTTATACGATAACTCAAATTTTTTTTTTCTTATTTTCCATTCCTTTTTTTTTCCTTCCACTTTTCCCCCGCATTTCTTCAATCCTCTCACACCATTTCATCTAAGACGAATTGGAATTTCCCCTTTCTGGATTGTGTGTTCAGGATTCCAATTCCTAAGGTTTGAACCGAACAAGAGAGCCTCAGTAGAGAGAGGTAAGTTGGAAATGTCAGGAAAAATCACACACACAAATGAAGAAGAGCCTCTCTTTCTTGCACTAACTTCCACAGAATTGCAAATACTGTGCCGATAAAGGGTACCTAAGTAGGTACCTCACCAACACATGACATACGTAACCCTCCTCCTCCACATATGTATGCACCCAAAGTAGTATAGATACTACCTACACAGAAGTATGCAAGTCATTTTTGTTGAATCCTACTCTACCACTTCTGTTAGTCGGTAGCGAACAACCCCATTGAGACTCTAGAACTCCTTGTTCCTTGAGTCCCGAGCGTTTCTGTTGTTGTTCAAGAATACTACGCTGGAAAAACAAAGCGTCTATTTCAGAATGGTTTGCCGTTTCCGAATACCGAGCGATGGTGGTCAGATGAATGGCGTCACATTTTGGGACGGGACGAGGGGGAAGGGTATATGATGGATATTAATGATATTGTTGAAGACGGCTTTAATAAATGATTGTTTGTTAATGGTCGTACGGTAGGCTCCGAGTGTTTTGTTTAACCCGAATCTTCGTATACACACGCCATGAACTAAAACATGGCAACATAACGGAGGACGAAGGTGATATGAGAAGAAAACAAATGGCATGCCGGTCCTCAAGTTCGGAAACAGCGCCAATTGACCAATCAGAGCTCAAGGGGACAGACTTCAGCTGCCATCTATCCCGACTTCGGGAGTGGTTGACGCGCGGAAAGAAAGAAAAAGAAATCAAACAACGGAATAAACAACAAGGTACGAGGCCACCATGTATGTAAGGCGTACAAAACGGACCAATTGTCCAATTGACTCTGCAAAGAAGCCGTCCGGTGTAACAGACTCCCGGTGCGTTCCGCAAAAGAGCCCCGGGCCGGGGAGAGGAACACGACGACAACAATGGGGGGAACTGCCGAACAAGAAAAAGGACATCCATCCATTCGCCCACCGTACCTAGTATTTCCTTCTCCCGTCGCTTTTCATCGTCGCTTTCAGCGCTTTTTCCGCCTCTATTGAGGTTGTTGGGCAATCGGAACGGAACCTGAGTCGCTTGCTTTCCTTTCTCGTGTTTGTTGTTTTTCGCTTCGCTCAGCTTTCTCATAACAGATCCAGGTGCGGCCCAACCCAGGAGGCTAAGAGCCTAGGTAGGGAGCTGAGGCTCGGAAGGTCAGGACTAGAATAAGACCTGTTCGGACGAGAAAACCAAACCAGATGGGAAACCGACCGAGTTCTTCGGTAATCCATCATAATCGGCTCGGATTTCCTTATTTGCAACTGTCGGTCTGCAGCGGTCAATCCCCTTGTTCTGGTTACCTGGTCCATAGCTCCTAAGGCTGGGTTTCTCTGCCCTGACGAGTAGACAATGCCACAGAACGGCCCGAACGGAGGACAAGGACCCACGCACGGCCTTATGTCTCACTTGTACATACCTTGACCCAGTCGCTGCCTTCGTCAGCTAGGGGATTTTGTCATCGAGATTTCGAGATAGCAATCAACGAACCCATACTAGACTCGCGTCGGTTACGTAGGCGACTGTCGGGTTTGTCGCACCACCCACAATCAACCCGGACGCTGTCGGCAGCGGTGTGACCGTTGGACCACGGAAACGTCTTTTCGAAGGTTGTGTCCCCCATGAGCCCCGTTCCGGAAAGTGGTCGAGATGTCTTAAAACAAACAGCTGTCAAAATCATGGCTAGACCCCAGTGATCGACAAATCTAGGTGCGACTTTGTACCACTACTGTCAGGCACATGTTGTACCTTGCACTAGGAAATTGCATTGGGCGACGCTATCCGGTTCGTTAATTCGACGGGAAAGGATGCAAACTTGGCATATCGGTGCCTTGCAGTATTGTGTGCTTCTAGCGTAGAGCTGGAAGCCTGATAGTGAGATAGGGCAGATAGGATGAGAAACTGTCAATCTGTTCCAATTCCACTTTAAGAACACATATGAAAGATAGTACAAACTACCTCTACAGTGGAACGGATTAGTGTAGTGCGTAGCTCGCGGCTTCGGGTGATCGGGTCCCTTCAGTTGTAACGGGGTGATAAAATTGTGCTCAAGTGCTGGAGCTTGACGAGGAAGAAGAACAAAGGATATTGAATTGCTGATAGACCTGAAGAAACGAAGGAGATGAAAAGGAAAAGGAAAAGGAAAAGGAAAAGGACAAAACTGCCTGTCTTGTCTTGATGTCTGTTGGCACTAACATGCGCTTGCAGTCTGCAACCACCTGCGGGCACAAAAGAGCCGTGCGTAAGCTTTGTTGCTGCCCATTGGAGGAACACAGCGCGACGTGTTGAAGAGCGACAGAGCCTCCCGTAGAGGCATGCTTCTTGGATCTCCAATAGGGAGATATCCAGGAGGGTTACAATCCTCCACTACTGGAGCTACATACCACGGCCCAGGAACTATATTTGACAACTCGTAGCGCCGTAGCTTCAGAGCTCAGAGCTCTAGCTAGAGCTTCCACTTGGTTGGAACCAGGAGACGCAAACTCATATGTTAACATAGCAGTGGCTAGTCAGTACCGCTGGAACAGTGAGGGAAAAAGCATTGAAACACCCAGCGAATAAGAAAACCGAGGTTCACCACGTTTGTGTTGCTAATAGAGACCTGCCGGCCCGACCATTGGGTCGCACAAAGTGAAGCTGTCAAATGCCGCCCCGGAGTAAGGTTCGGTACGGATTGCTATGTGCCGGATTTGGAGGGATCAGCTTGTAAGCAGGTTGCCTGTAAAAAGCAGGGACAGGCTCCGTCACGGACTCGCGAATTTTCGTCCCATCACACCGCATCTCCTCAACTTTGACTTGCGGGATACCTTGCTCCCCCACAGGCAGACTGACTGCTGGTTCAGGATTCCTGGCCTATACGCTGCCCACCACGAGCGAAACGGAAGTCTTATCGGCACGTAAACGGAGGGAGTCGACAAGCGTACGTACCTTTGTAGTGAGTTTGTACTTGTGGATATGATGCTGCAAAACTTTTTTTCTTGTCTTTTGGACAAACCACAGTTGTTGAAGTCCTTTGTCTCTTCTCCGTTACCCACCACTGGAATCCACGCCAGGCATCCACGCTTTCATGCACCTAAGTACGCCATGATCAGCGTTTACGTTAGGCGCGGTCGGGAACCTTCCCTTTCTCGTTTCTTTGCGGTTCCCTTTTCCACTTTTGCTAACGTCTTTGGACGAAGCTTCCGAGAGGCTTGTCGGGGCAGAGGTGGAAATGTTTCGCGTTCTTAGGGGCCGCCGGCACGCTATGCACGCGGTGGGTAAAGGAACCACGGAGCCAGCACGGGGCATCCACATCGTTGCTCCGTGTTCCACCAGACACGTTGGGGCCGCTGCAGGCCAGCAGCAGAGAAGCCCGAGAGACCCAGTAAAAGAAGAACCTTGAGAGCTTCAGGAAACCGGTTCTTGCACTCTAAATGGAAGTCGGCCGAAACTGTGGGGTAAACACCAAGGACCCTCCCTCCGTGAGGCAAGGGGGGCCTAGAAACCCCGGAACCGGTGTCGCGCGGGGTTCGGTTTCCATCGCGCCGGGTGTCCCTCCGCCATCAAACCTAGATGGCATCACACAAGCCCTAGTCACATACTATGTATGTATCCGACGCATTCCTAAATGGTATGCAAGAAGAAC